GGAATGTATGCGTAAGTATTTGAGATACACAAACTGTACTGTATTCAATATGTAAATAAGTAATCATACATACCAAGTCTCACGCATTTGGCATGAGACTCGCATTTTGGTTCAGTCTTGCGCTTAAAGAATAAAATCTTGCGCATAAATTTAATGCCTATATAATAAAATAGATTAACTATTTGTGACTTCCTTTTTATCCCTCATACTAAATATTCTTCATCTACAGTAATTCAGATACGGTAACATTATGTATAACATTCGTTTTTTAAAGTGCTGCCAGATAAGATCAAAGGACATGAACAGTGTAAACGAATTCATGTGCAGATGTTCTGAAATGCATGCATTTTCAAGAAATTTTCAAAATATATATTTTCTGAGGTGGGGGCGGGGGTCAGAAGTAACTTGATCAGTGACTTAGAATTACTAAATTTTTAGGCACACTGTGACAATCAGCTGCTGAGTTCATTCGTGGAACATTGGTTCACTGATCTTGGTGGCAAACTTTACCGATGGTCATTAAATTGATTCTTTTTGTGATGCATCTTTGCATCTGTTCACTTAGGCTGGCAACATAACACGATTTATTGAAAATAATTTGTTTTCCACTTCACATACAGCTGATCCATGCAGTAATAATCCATGTGGAAATGGCGGCGAGTGCATAAGCAATGGTGAAGGAGAGTACATGTGTCGCTGTTTAAGAGGATGGCAAGGGCTACACTGTGATGAAGGTATACTGATATATTTAAAACACCAGTGAATAATGCTTTCTCTCTGTAAATGTAGGTTTGTAGCCTTAGTGTAAGCAGCCTCTCCTTAGGCTGATGCAGGATTTGTCGGTAGAGGGGTGCGTGAGACCGCAACCTTGGCGGGCCTAAGGTGGAAACATTTTGAAAATTTAGACTCATTGGTGCCTGGAAATTGCACTCTCATACCTTTAAAATCTTACCTGTAATTGCACCGTCTGCACCCTCTTGCATCCACCCCAGCTTTCAATAATGCTTACACCTTTGATGCAACATAAGCTGCCCTGCGCATGTTGTTTAGATCGGCGTAATTATAGCCTATGACTAATGCTTACGCCTCAGTGTAAGCATAGACAATGCTTTTGTTTTAAATATAAAACTCTTGTGTCACTAGGAACCGGCTATTGTAGTGCACATGGAGACCCTCACTACACTACATTTGATGGTGTCAAATACGACTACATGGGGGATTGTGAGTATGTGCTCCTGAGTGACTGCATCTCTGAGTCTGAAAAATCCGAGTTCATTGTTGTTCAGAAGAACCAGAAGTATGTCCTCAATCCTGCAGCAGCTACAACCAAAGAGTTGTATGTGTATGTATTTGGACAAGTAAGTTGCCTTTCATGAAATTATGCAAATTAGCATTGATTTAATTTCATTTATTTTATTTTTTAAAAATCAACATAAAAAATAATGGGTGGGCAGCTGTAGCAAAAATGTACTGACTCCAAAGAGTGAGCTGCACAATATTAGTTCATAAACAACATGCTTAGTGAGTTGATTGTTTAAGACAGGTGAACCGTGACTTACAGCCATAATATCGGCGCTGGTTCGAACAGCACGCTTGCCTATGGTTCCGGTGGTGGAACAAGTCTTCTCGGATAAGGACTCTAAACCGTAGGCCCAGTGTACACAATTGGCTCGTGTGCACTTTAAAGAACCCAGCACATCATTCGAGAAGAGTAGGGGTTACCCCGGTGTACTGGTCCATCTCTAGTCCCCTGTCCGGCCACAGAAGGAGCGCTCACGGCGTGGCCCATGTCAGGTACCCATCCAACCTGCGAATCCTTCTACCACACTACGTAAGCTAGATCATACACACTAGCTACGTAGTGACTCGATAAGAAGAATAAGCAACATGCTTAGATAAAATATACTTAATTATCATGTAATGTGTCTCTTTATTTGTCAGAGAATTGACTTACTTGAGGGAAAAGAAGTTAGAGTGAATGGTGTTCTTGAAAACACTCCTATTACATACATTCCTGGTCTGTCCGTATTAGCAAGTGGACCATACATTGTAAGTATTCAGCATATATATTATTGATTATCTTTTACTGTTTATCTGATATGGAAGGATTACCTGCTGCTATTGCATGTTACAAATATTGTATCATACTGTATATAAAACAATAATGAGTACTATCCATTATT